GAGCACCATCCGGGATGACCAGAAACGCGGAAACGAGACCGACGTCGCAGCGGGAATACGAAGCCAGCGCCGCAGCGGCAACACTATGTCAAAATGCCAGCTGCCACCTGACAGGGGTAACCATGCGTGGAATGACCCATGCGGAGGGGGCGGGGAGTCTTCCGGGCAGAGTCCAGGGGGAGAGGAGGATCATATTCAGAATGCGTAGTTGTTGAAAGGGACAGTGCTGAGAGGTAAACAGGAAGGCGTAGAGCGGATGGGGGCGGGGGGGAGGGGTGAGAGGGAAAGGGGGAGGAGGAGGGAGGAGAGACAAGCTGGGTGCGTTCGAGCCGTACCTGACATCCGACCCCTCGCACCCATCTCTTCCCACCGCGCTGTTTTTATTATAGCCCCCCGCAGTCACGGATAAAAGTGAGGTGGTGGCGGGGACGTCGGCAGCCTGCGAGGCTCTAAAGAAGCCCGCCGCAGGCGCTTAATTTTTGTACAAATTATACAACGAGCCCGCCGCAGGCGCCGATTTTTCGTTAAAGCAATGTCGGTGGGTCAAGGGTGGGTCAAGGGTGGGTCAAGGGTGTGTCGCGGGTGGGTCGCGGGCGGGTCGCGGGTGGGTCGTTGGGTGGGTCGCGGGTGGGTCGCGGGTGGGTCGCGAGCGGGTGGCCGGGTAGGTCGCGGGTGGGTCGCGGGCTCGGTCACGGGGGCGACGACGCCAAACAAGAGCAACAAACAACCAAACAACACTAATCCGCATCGGGGATTCCCACTTCAGCCACGCACCCAGGGACAGTGAATGACCAGTCGGGCCCCTCACTCGGAGATCCCCCGACGCGTGTCATAGCGGACTTGGAACTCCAGAGATGACCCCATCGGGTTGTGCGCAGTCGGAAACACAGGAGCTGCCCATACGTTGGAGGAGAAGGAGGAGGAGGAGGAGGAGACGGAGATAGCGGATGAGCAGAGGTATGGGCAGGAGGACGTTGGGAGGAAGAGGAAGGAAGAGGACGAGGCCGAACAAGAGCAAACCAGGGTTTGGGGCGGAACGAGCCGGAGGAGCAGGAGGTCCACTGGAAGGCGGAGGAGGGGAACGGATGTCGGCGACAACGATGAAACGAGATTTGGATCCAGAGATGTGGCGTGCGCGCATGTGCGAGAGCGCCATTTTGAACGGCGGGGGCAAAGCGCACTGCAGCGGCAGCACCATTCCGATCTACAGAGAGCACTCGGATTGCAACAAAGTGTGGGGCAGAGCCATGTTTTCAAATCCCGGGCGACAAGAACACGCGAAGAAGGCCGGATCTCTTCCGGGCAGGGTCAAGGAGAGAGAGAGAGAGAGAGGAGGGTAGTAGTCATAGTGTGCAATTGTGGAGGGGGTCGGGTGGGACGGGGGGCAGCGGGACGGGGGGGGGGACTGAGATGCGGGAGGACGTGTGAACGGGGGAACGGGGGGACGCAAGACGGGGACGGGGATGCGCGTGACATTCTGATGCGACAAGGGAGAGGAGGTATCTCATGAGAACAGAGAAACCCTACTGGAGATCACCTGGCATTCGAAAGCGCCCACATCGTCCAGGCACAGGGGCGGATTTCTGAAAGGTGTGGAGGTGGGGCCCGGGGAGGGTGACGGGGAGGAGGAGAAGGAGGAGGAGGAGGAGGAGGAGGAGGAGGAGGGGGACGGCGAAGAGGGAAGAGGGTACGGATGACGTGGAGGAGCGGGGGGGAAGAGGACGGGGAGGTGCGGGAGGAGGAGCTAGAAGAGGAACATTCATGGGAGTAAGAATAGGCTGATATGGAGGAGGAATTGGAAGAGGAGAAGGAGGAGCAGGAGGACGAGCGTAACGAAGTGGAGGAGGTGGGGGATACGGGGGAGATGAATGAGGCGGAGGAGGAGGAGGAGGAGGAGGACGAGGAGCAAGAGAAGGAGAAGGAGAAGGAGAAGGAACAGGAGGAGGAGGAGGAGAAGGAGCAGGATGAGGATGAGGAGGAGGAGGGGCAGCAAGAGGAGCACGAGCAAAGGCAGGATGCGATGACAGAGAAGGAGGAGGAGGATGAGGATCAGCAGGAGCAGCAGGATGAGGAGGAGGAGGAGTTGGAGAAGGAGGGGGTACCCTGCCACCCCTTCTCTTCGACGCGCGGCCAGGACGCGGACGACGCGTTTGACTTCACTGGCAGGCGGCGGCTCTCGGTTTGGTCGCCGTCAGCGGTCGTCGTCGTCGCCGCCTTCATAGGAGGAAGCGGAGAAAGAGGAGGGAGAAGAAGAGGAGGAGGATGAGGAGGAGGATGAGGAGGTGGGGGGAGGAGGAAGAGGAGGAGGGGGAGGGGGAGGAAGAGGATATATGCGGACAAGGGGAGAGGGAGGGGGAGAATGAGGAGGATGAAGAGGAGGAGGAGGAGAGGAGGAGGAGGAGGAGGAGGAGCAGGAGGAAGGGGAGGAGGAGGACGAGGAGGAGGAGGATCAGGAGAAGGAGGGGCAAGAGGAGGATGAGAAGGAGGAGGAGGAGGTGGAGGAGAAGGAAGAGGTGGAGGAGATGAATGAGGAGAAGGAGGAGGGGGAGGGGAAGGGGGACCAAGAAAGGGGAGGATCTAAGAGGATGGAGTGGAGGACGGAGAGGACGGGGAGGAGGAAGAGGGCGAGGGTGAGGAGGAGCATGAGGAGGAGGAGGAGGGAAATCGAGGATGGGGACGGGGAGGGGAATGAAAGGAGCAGGAGGAGGAGGAGGAGGCGTTGGAGGATGAGGAGGAGGAGGAGTTGGAGGGTGAGGAGGCGGGGGACGGGAAGGATGAGGAGTATGTAGAGGATCACGGAGGTGGGTGTCAAGGAGGAGGAGGTGGGTATGGGGAGAGGGTGGCGGAGGAACAGGAGCGGAGAGAAGAGAAGGAAGAGGAGGGAGGGAGGCTGTGCTCGCGGACATCCCCCGCGGCCGCCCGCTCTGAACGTCTCCTTCGAGGCTGCGGGTCCCATTGAGTGGAGGTCTCTGGAGCCGTGGGGGGAAGGGAGGAGGAAAGGAAGGGGGGCGGGGCTGGAGCGCGGGGAGGGGGAGGGGGAGGGGAAGAGGACGGGGCGCCCGAGGCCCAAGTGGCGGCCCATGATGCCTTCTCGATTTGGCAATCTCAGGGTATAGATATTCGGGTCGGGCTCTGTGATATGCTCAGCCCTCTTTGGGCCTCTGGGCCTCCCGAGCCTTCCCGACGGCGTGCATGCAGCGACCGTGCGAGGTGCGCGTATGACTCCTTGGCTCGGCGCCGGTCGCCCTGTGCGGCGCCTCCCGGCGCTCCTCGCGCGCCAGCGGTTGGGGGGGGGGGGCAGCGTGGGCCCGAGGACTCGGCGCGGCCCTCCGAGGGTTGGTGCTGCTGCCTTGGAGGTTCTTCAAATCTTGGTGTCGCAGAAAATTTGGCATCGCTCGGACGTGTGCATTTTTTCCTTCGGCGAGGACCATCGAGGAGCATCCTTGATCATTTGGCGAAAAAGCCATGCACGAAGTCGAAAAATGCACAGGGAATGGACGTCCGAGCGATGGCCAGAATCCTGGCGTCGCAGAAAACATGCGGTGGCGTTTGCGCATTCTGCTCGTGCAGTCTCCGGAGGCAGTTTTCGCGTCCCCGTGGCCGCTGCACCAAGTACTCTGGATGAAACCAGCCCTTGGGAAGGGGGGGTCGAGATCCCCAGGGGACCACGTCACGACCAAAGCGTCGGCCCAGCGGAACGGAGGAGCAGGAGGAGGGGTCAAGCTCGCCAGGTCAGACCAGTCAGCGGAGCCCTCCACCTCCCACCCTCCCCCCCCCCCAGAACACAGGAATCCATGGTGGCACAACTTCACATTTGGCACTGGAGCGCGCTCCCACCTCACTAGCGAACGAAGGGCGCTCGCTCCGCGACGACCTGGCGAAGGGGAAGAAACTGCGGGCCGCGCACGCGCGGGAGCGGAGACTTGCGCGGCGCTGCGGCGACCCTCATCTCGGGCGGCCAGGTGTCCAGAGCGCTGCGAGGACGAGCCGTGCGTCGCGCACCAACAGCACTGCCACGTTCTCTCCGTGAGCTCCAGAGACGGGGGGGGGGTCAGTGCAAACGTGGGTCAGTCAGAGCGCCGGACCTTTGCAGGGTCCTGCAGGGCTGGGGGCGCTCTGACCCCGGCTCGGGCGCACTGACCTCGGCTTGGTCGTGCAAGGCCGGAGTGACCCGGGTCTGGATCGACCTCGGTCAGCAGGTCCCCGTGCTCTCTCGCAGATTGCGCGGCGCCCGGTCGAGGGCGGCACCTCCCCCGCCAGCGCGGGGCCCCGCCGTCGCCGCCGCCGCGCGCGAGGTGGCGAGCAGAGAGCACGTGCCCCGCCCGCGGCGTCGAGGCGGGGAGGTGTGGCCACGGCGGCGAGGCGCCCGCTCGCGCGAAGGCCCCGGCACCCACGACCTGGCGAGTGACGACACTCGGCCACGCGCAGAGGGGGCGTCCAAGAAGAGGAGGATGAGGAGGAGGAGGAGGAGGAGGAGGAGGAGGAGCAGGAGGAGGAGGAGGAGGAGGAGGAGGAGCAGGAGGAGGAGGAGGAGGAGGAGGAGACGGAGGAGGAGGAGGAGGAGGAGGAGGAGGAGGAGGAGCAGGCGGAGGAGCAGGAGGAGGAGGAGGAGGAGGAGGAGGTGGAGGAGGAGGAGGGGGAGGAGGGGGTTCGCACATCATGGCCAGAGGCACGTGTGCGGCTGGGGGGGGGTCAGCCAGGGGACGTGCTGAGAGAGGAAGATTGGCGGCACGCACATAGGGGGTAGGCGGAGGGGGGAAGGCTTCTTAGAAGGGGGCTGCTTCTTGGAAGGCGCCCTCCTGGCATCTATAGTCAAAGCCTTCGCCTTCTAAGAAGCAGGTGTGTTTCTGAGAAGCTTTCTCCCTCCCCCTATCCCCCTCTACCCATCGGTCATTGAAAGTGGGTAGTCTTGGATTCCCAGGTTCCAATCCAGTTTAAGCGCCTTCCTGCTTCAATGATCGAGTGGCTTTACCTTTTCCGTCCTCTTCAGGGGGCGGGCGGAGACCCAATCTACTTTTAACGCCCTTTTACTTCATGTTTTTACCTAGTTATTTTTCCGACCGATGGGTACTCTTGCGACGCATTGTTCTGAATCGCCGACACCAAAACGTCCATGTTGACATAGGGGAGTCGCCTTGACAATGTTTGACGCGACGGCACAGGTAGGGTGGAAGAGTAGGAGCATGGTATATACGACATCCGAGTACGGGGATGTGGACGCGCACGGCTGTCCTTCAAGGTTGAACCATCCTCGCAGCCCAACGTACCAGTCCTCACGAATCGAACCCGTCGTTAGAAGAGGTGGGCCAGGGGAAGGAGGAATAGATCGGGCTAGATCGGGCTCCACCTGTCCAGGCACAAGCGCCACTACCGCAACACGCTGAGCGTGCTCGAGGACACGAGGGTGACATGAGAGCGTGCTCTCGTGCACGAGGGGACAAGAGGGGGAGGTGAGGAAGGAGGGCAGGAGGAAGAGGGGGAGGAGGAGGAGGAGGAGGGAGGAAGGGAGGGAGGGGCAGAGGTGTTCGGCGGCGCTCGGTGCTCTTCTGTGTGTTTTGTCTGCAGGCTTCTGGGGAGGCGGATGGATGAGGAGGAGCAGCAGCGGCGAGGGGCATGAGGAGCAGAAGGAACACGACGCAGACTCCGAACAGCAAGGTTGTTTATGTAGCATGTTGTGTGGTCCGGGGTGCCCGGCTTAAACATCCCCACGTGCAGCCTTGTCCCTCCCCCTCTTCCAGTCGCATCTTCCAGGGTTGGAGGCCTAAACGCTGCGTTGCCGGACTTCGGCTGTGCGTTGTTGTCCGTTTCGGCAGGGAGGTACAGGAACAGAGGTAGAGCAACACGAACAACACGAAAACAAAACAAACAAACAACGTTCAGCTCGAGCCTTGGCACATGCCATGCCCCGTCCCCCCCACTTCCTTTCCATCCAGAGATTCGTTCCTTGCTCCTCCTGCCCTTCATTACCCTGTTTCCTGCGTCATGGAGCCCAAGATGGGCCCCGTGAAGCAAACTGATGCTGTTGCTGCGTGTATACGAACCGCAGTTGCCACAGAGGCGATACGCATCATATATAATTGCCGTCTACGCATGGCTCTTCATTGCACGTGTTGTGTGCAGTGAAGCGTCTAGATGTGTATAGTTGGACCAGGGACCCGACACGCGTGTGCAACATCGTGCCAGGGCATGCTTTAATGCGATCTAAGGGCAGTTGGGCGGAAGTGCGGAAGGGACACAAGATACATGTTGGGCTCTATGGTTTCGTTCATGTTACACGGGGGGTAGGTTTTGCGCGAAGCCAATCAACCAACCTCAAAAGTCATGACAGTCAGCCCTCTCCGTTTGCCGAACATGCACTGCCGCCCCTTCTTATCGCTGCGGTCCAAGTGTCCACGGAGGGGTCCGCAATCGAGACCACGAACTGTTCTCATATCCTGCAATGCAGCAGCCGACGGGACATTTCGTGCAAATAACGTCGCGTCGGTTGTATGCTTTAAGCTGTCGTTGTGCATCAGATGACTTCGGGAAGACACTGCAGACAGGTCGACCATTCCAAAAACACTGCTCGAGAAGTCGTACTAAACCCACCTTGAGGAGAAGGTGACGGACAACACAAGATCTCGTGGATATTCGTGAGGGGCTCTGCCTACGGAGAAGTCGTCAAGCCCTCCTGAGCTCACGCCGCATCTCGGCCATGGCGTGTGCAATGATCCCAGGCCCTGGGTAGGCCCATCCAGGATTGGTACAATCAGTTGCTCAAAGATCCCAATGATCTCAGGGCGTGTGCTCCAAGCCCAGGGCCTATGCATTGATCCCAGGGCCTCGCAGATTCTCCAAGGCGCTGCAGCGGTGTAATTCGGGGTATGCAGTCGGCACTCCGCGATCCCTAGGGTACAGAGAGCTCTGGTCGGGGACACGCGAGACTCGTGTCTGCCCTCCTGTTGTGACGGGCAACGCTTGGGGGGGGGGACAGGCTCATGGGGGGGCTGCGTCGAACTCCAATCTCATACTGATCGCCGACGGGGGCCCGATGGCCCACCCCGCCCAGGAGCGTGCGGATTCGCTATCGGGGGTCTATCGCCAATGTATCGGCGATGTGTGGCTCGATGTTTCTCCCCCTGGGCCAGTCCCCCCCCCTATCCTTGCCCTTCGTGCTGTCCCTTGAAGGAGGCGGTCAGGGTCTGGAACGCCGTGCCCGTCAGCGCGGTGGTGCAGCTGGGCGATCTCATCGACGGCTGCAGCGCCCGCAGTGGAGCCAGCGCGACCGCGCTGGGCACGGTGTTGCGGACGCTGGCGGGCAGCACGGCGACGCGGTTCGACTTGATCGGCAACCACGACCTCTACAATTTTCCGAGGACTCTGCCGGGGCCAGGGACACGTTCATTGTGCGACAATAAACCCACTTTGTGGCAATTGGCGGCATAAAGTGCAGTGTGTGTACATCTATATATAAACACATGTATACCCATCGGTCGTTGAAAGTGACCCACGGGTGGGCGGTCGATGAGCGTCCCCCAGTACCAATAATTGCCGATGCCAATGAGCGCTGTGCGCTCGGAGAGCCTCGAGTGTTCACGGTTAATCGATCCACGCGATGCCAGAAACCAGCGCAGGAGCGTGCCGTACCGCACCAATGCCCTGAGGGTTTCCAAGAAACCAGGAGGGCTCCTCAGAAGGCATGCAAGTTTTCCCCTCTTGAAAATGCTCCGATCGAGCTGAGGTCAAGGTGGCGAGCGAGAAGAAGATCGAAGTTGTCAGAACAAAAACACCCCCCAAAATGAATTGTCAAACGTCTTCCAAACATAGTTGTTATTTTTATATGTGTGCATACATATATAATATAATATATAGTTTACAAATGCCATTCAATTCCTTGGCGCCCCCCAGCACCACCCCTGGAAGGCTGCCCCCCTCGCGCCAACCCCGTGCGCGCGTCGCCGACACACCTTCCTGCCCGGAGCGCCACGAACCCTCACAGGTCGAACCAGCCACTGGGTGTCACAGAAACTGACGCCGACGTCGCCACGCGGTGCGGACCTGCCCTGCGGGCACCGATCTTGGGCTCAGGGGTCCGGGCGCGGCTTCGGCGGTTCAAAGATGAGGACATGAGGGATGGGGCCTCACGGACAGAAATGAATCCAAGGGTGGATGTACATTTGTTTGAGGCTCCTCGTCCTCACGACCCCATCCCTCAGAACCCACGCCGACGACGCCGACGTCGTCCACGGTCGTCGTCGTCGTCGTCGTCGTCGTCGTCGTCGTCGTCGTCGTCGTCGTCCGGGCGCGGTTGTTGGCTTCACAGCCGGTCTCCCCGCTGCGAGGAGCGCCCTGCCCGGGTCGGGCTTACAGTGCCCCGCGGCGGGGGCCCTCGGCGGGGCGCACTCGACGGCTGCCCTGGGGGACTTCTGGCAGCTGGTGTTCCTGGACAGCTACGAGCACGCGCTGGTGGGCGTGCCGGAGATCGGGCGATCGCAAACGCTCGGAGGAGGAGAGGGTGCCCATGCCGCGGCCCGCCCCTCGTGCTCCCCTGTGTGGGCCTCCTGGGAGGCCCTTCTCGCCACCGCTGGGTTCGCTTTGGAGTCCTGGTCAGAACGCACCCCTCCTCCTCCTCCTCCTCCTCCTCCTCCTCCTCCTCCTCCTCCTCCTCCGCCTGTCGGTCTCCCCAAACATGGATCAAGGGGGCGTGGATCAGCGACGGGCCCCCGTTTCCATGGGGCATCGCGGGTTTCCGCCGCCGAGCGAGGCGGCTCCGGCCGCATTGAGGATGCCACCTCCCCCGATCCATGGATTTAGCTGGCGACCGCGCGCCAGATCCATGGATCGCTAACCCATGTTTGCGCGCCCCGAGGAGAGCCACCCGAGCTTCGCGGAGGCCCGGCGAAGAAAAGCGCCCGAGGGGCGTGGCGCGTGTGGGGCGGGGATGTGCGCAGGCGGGGGCGCAGTCCGTGGAAGATGCCCGCTGGGTGCTCGCTCTGGAGACCTCCCTGGGGCCCACCTAGAGGATTTGTCTCGGCTCCAGCGGGGGAGCAGTCGGTGGAATGTCCTTGCTGGATGCTCGTTTGGGGGACCTCCCCGGGGCAGACCCAAATGGACCTTTTCGGCTCTAGTTCGGCTCTACCTCGACGCCAGCTCGACTCGAGCTCGACTCAGGTTCGAAGTCCTGGACGTTCGACACAGCCTCGACCTTTTGGTGGAGCGAGTAGCTCCGCAAAGGTCCCCAGAACGAGCGTCGAATCCTTCCCCGTCGAGACCTCTCGGTCGGACTCAGACGTCCTCGTGCTGTGTGCGCGTCGTTTCCGTCGCGGCGGCGCGCGCACTGAACAGCATCCCGAGTTCTAACTGCGGCTGCCCGTCGGTCGGAACAGCTAGAACCATGAAGCAGGAAGTTGATGGAAAGTAGATTGGGCTTCCCCTGCCCCCTTACGAGGAGGGGAGAGGGAAAGCCACTCGACTCTTGAAGTAGGAAGGCTGCTCAAGGAAATTGAGGTACGGGAATTCCAAGATACCTGGTTTTAGCGATCGGCGTTTACGAGCGCTGGTCTTATACGACCCGGTCAGCCGTGAGCCCTCGCAGGGTGGCGCGCAGCATTCGTACGGCAGGTTCGCGTCTTGTCGACCGGCGGCGACCCCGCCGCGGAACGCCGCCGGCGACCCAGAATCGGTCGACGTTGGACGATTCGACGTTTCGGAAGCGGTCGTTTTAGATCCCCCTTGGGGGATCCAGGTCATTTGCGAGTAGTTACTTTTGCGAGTAGCGGAACGCGCTCGTCCAAAGGTGTAACGACCCCCGCGGTGTCAGCGAACCATCGCCGTGGTCGACACGGCACGTGCCCGCGGTGCGCCCTCGCCCCCCCAGGCCGCCGCCCCCGCCCCTGCCCCCACCCCGCCTACATCGGCGGCGAGTCGTGGGGGGGGACCCCTCCTCCTCCTCCTCCTGCTCCTCCGCCTGCTCCTCCTCCTCCTCCTCCTCCTCCTCCTCCTCCTCCTCCTCCTCCCCCTCCTCCTACTCCCCCTCCTCCTCCCCCTCCTCCTCCTCCTCCTCCTCATCCTCCTCATCCTCCTCCTCCTCCTTCTCCTCCTCCTCCCTCCTTCTCCTCCTCCTCTTCCTCCTCCTCCTCCTCCTCCTCCTCACAATGCGGCGGGTCTTCTCAGAAGCCCCCCGGCCTTCTGAGAGGTCTTTTGTGTGCCTTCGGGGAAAGCTCCGAGCACTTCTCAGAAGGCGGGGGACTTCCGAGCCTTCCGAGTAGGCCCGCCCCTTCTCTTTCCCCATCGGGCGCTCGCCGCCGAGCCCTCGCTGCGCCCGGATCCCTTTCGAGAGCATCCTCTGCGCCGCCCCCCGCCCTCGCCCCCTCCCTCCCCCCCCCCTCCCCCCCCTCCCCCCCTCCCCTCCCCCCCCCCCCCCCCCCCCCCATATCGCACCGCGATAGAGCCCATTCCATTCCATTCCCCCCCTCCCCCCCCTCCCCTCCCCCTCCCTCCTCTCCCCCTCCCTCCTCCTCCCCCTCCTCCTCCCTCCCCCCCTCCCCCTTTCCCCCGCCCTCCCCCCCCTCCCTCCCTCTCCCTCCTCCTCCCTCCCTCCCCCCCCTCCCCTCCCCTCCCCATGTATTGCATCTAGTCCGGAGGGCGCTCAGGCAGGAAGGGACTGCACGAATCCGTAGCCGTCTGTCCTGGTGAAGAGTCCTTCCTCCCCACCTGGCAGGCCTGATTGCCTCGACCCATCCAAACCTGGAAAGCATCGTCCCCGTCCTGATCTGGAGGCTCATGTATCTAAAGCCCCATGCGCGGTGTCGCCCCAGCCCTTGCCGAGAGCAACGGTGCATTCCAGCACTTGCTATCAAGGGCTCGCGCCCCAGCATCCGACGGCGTGCGCCCCAACACTGAGCGCAAGCCTTCAAGCAAAATTCAAGCAGAAAATGAGGCTGTGCCGTCGCCGCCGCGGTCGTCGCCGTCGCCGCTCTCGCCGTCGCCAGATCTCGCCGCGGACGTCGCCATCGCCGCCTTCCGACGCCGCCTTGGCCGTCGCATTCTCACCGTGGCCCTTCCCATCGTCGTCGTCGACGTCGGCTGCGGCTCTGCCAGCGCCGTCGTGGCCGACGTACACTCCAGGCGATGCTTAAGAAAACCCAAGTTTTCGGCCAGAGTCTCGATGATTCTTAATGTTTCAATGTAACTCCTAACATTTGAATAGACATTCTGGGTTTGACTTCAAATTCTGAGACTACGAATTTCTTAACCCATGATTTCTAAAGCATTTCGCAGGGTTAGTCGCCGTCTGCACTGTCGCCGTTACCGTCTTTGTCGCCGTTCCCACTGGCGTCGTCGTCGTCGTCGTCACCTACCTCGCAGTCGCTCTCGCCACGGCTGTGCCATAATCCCCCACTGTTTAGCAAAAATGTTCCAATGACTGGCCATTCCGTGTAATATTGCAACCAGTGGAGATTCAGGTCACACGTGCATCTATCTGGGTACATCTAGGGCGAGCTTTGTGCATTGATCCTCACTGCGTCCGCAGCCTTTTTGAGAGCGAGGCGTGAGCGCAATACTAGCATCCCAAACGGCCGCACCCCTCCGCTGCCCCTCTCAAAGCCAGATTGTAAACGTCCGAGAGGTGGTGTCGCGCCAACGCCATCATTTCCAGTGAGGCCGCTCCAGCAATCCACTCCGACAAAAACATGCGTACGCTGGAGCATGTCATGCTCATCGTGCGCGAGCGTTCGAGCAGCCCACGGTGTGTTCTCCAGCGCTGCATCTTCACCGAGCGCGAGCCCGAAGAAGAAAAGAGACGTTATAAACGTAAACGTGCGGCGCTCTGCGCGGAGTTCTTGGATCCACGCTGGGCCCCCCCGGCGGCGCCGCCGGCGCCGCCCCTGGCGCGCTCCACGCGACAGGGAGGGGGGTCCGGTGCAGGTCCAAGAAATCCGCGCGGAGCGCCGACAGTTTATGGCGTGTTTTCTTCTTCTATGAAAAGCATACTCGGCCTGTGGATCTTGAGAGCGTCCGAGGCGGCCTAATAATGCCCATGGACCAGTCGTTGTCTCCCCGTCCTCCTCGTCGCCAAGAGGCGGCCAGCATCGAGTGGGCCTTTACGTCATCTACCGCTCATGTGCGTACTGCCCTCCGTGCTGGGGGCCTGGCCCAGAACGACCTGCGGGGTTCCTCCCGTCAGTGCGTTGCTCAGTTTGCGCGAGGCCCTGCCGCGGTTCGGGGGGAGATCTCCCGGCACGCGCGCGGGCTCATCTCTTCGGGCTCGCGACGACCCTCGTCATCGCACGTGCTTCGTTTCCCCTTCGCCTTCTCTGCTCCTCTGCCTTTTCGTCCCCCCTCCTGCACGACGTGTGATGGCGCATCGCGGCAGGACAGTCGGGGCGCTGAAGAAGGAGCCCTGTCCGTGTGGGAGGGGTTCCGCGCCCCTCTGTTTTTTTAGAGTTTGCCTCAGGTATTCCTTCGGTTTTCGATGGATGTATCGTCGAATTTTAACTTCTGGAGAAACAGGGCCTCGTTCCTTAATTTACTGCTCCTCGGGTCAACGCCCCAAGTGTAATCAGATTGAAGTATCGGCGCTTGGGCGCCGGAATCTGCAGCCCCGCTCTTCCTGGCGCGGTGCTTTCTGGCGCGCGCCACTGTCAGCGCGCCCATGCCGGGCCCCGGGCACCGCACAGAGAGGTGACGCGCGATGCTTGGATCCGCGGGTGTTCGCGTCCCCTCACTCCCTGTCCCGCCCCCCCCAGGGCTCGTTTCGATTCCTCCGATTTGATTCGATTCAATTTCGATAGCTTCCGATTACGATTCGATTTGATTTGGGAGTCCGATTCGGGTTCCGATCCCTTATTGGAGGCATACTAGCCTGCCGATTTCCGCCGATTCGACTTCTCCCGACTCGTCTGCCGATTTCCGCCGATCCGATTCATTTCGATCGCCGATCAGACTTATAGATTCGATTCTTGGCTCTCCCGCCCCTCCTCGGTGAAGAACCAACGCCACAAAGCATAATTTTCCCGAGGTCCGCGCGGACTTCTTGGATTGGCACCGGGCCGCTCTCTCCGGCGTGCGAAGGGTGCCGGCGGAGGCGCCAGAGGCGCCGCCCAGGGGGTTCCAGCGCCAAGCCAAGAACTTCGCGCAGACCTCCCAGCCTCCGACAGTCTATGCTCATGGTGTTTGCTCTTCCGCGACTCCCCCCTCTCCCAAAGTTTCGATGGCAAAGGGTCAAGTCGGGCCCGTCCCCTCACAGGAGGATTCTTCAAGCATATTACAAACATGATCTGGGGACGTTTTTTTTTTGATTTTTGAAAACCTCCTTGCGTATGTTTGACTGATTTTATTTGTCATCAAAGATCCGTCTGTAGGAGCACACGCCCAACCTAAGCAAAGGGCCCAGGCCTCCCGGATGGGGTCAGAGCAGCTGGGGTCGGAGCAGTTCGTGCCGCATTGGACCAGTGCGTCGGCGGTGCGGCTCGATGCGGAGTCCGCTGTTCTCCACGCCGGCGGCGCAGCTGCATCGCCAGCGTCGCCGATGCATCGCCGATGCATCGCCGACGCTCTCGGGGTGCGGCGCGATCCTCCGACCCCATCTTCGGCGGCGGCGAGCGAGGGAGGGAAGTGAGAAGTAGAAGGCCTTTTTCATAAGGTTCGGGGATCCCCCGGCCTTCCGAGATGCGTTCTGCGCCTTTTCCCAAGACGCAGAACAAATTCTCGGAAGGCGCGAGGGCGTCTGAGAAGTCCCCCAGGCCTTGTGAGAAGGTTTTCTCCTTCTCACGTCCCCCCCGGTCGCCGCTGACATCTATTCGGACGCCATTTGGTCCTCCTCCTCCTCCTCCTCCTTCTCCTCCTTACTCCCTCAGTGGCGTGCAATTCTTCTCCTCCTCCTCCTCCTCCTCCTCCTCCTCCTCCTCCTCCTCCTCCTCCTCCTCCTCCTCATCCCCCCCCTCCTACTCGTCCCCCTCCTCCTCCGAGAGCAAAGAGAGGCGGCAAGTATCCTCCGCGCGCACAACGAGCGGGCGCTGCACGCGGCGGACTGGGCGGCGGAGGCACCCCCGGGCAAGGAGCGGTACACGCCCCTCAACGGCGCGGTGTCGCCCGCCCAGCTCGCCTGGCTGCGCGGGGTGCTGGCCGCGGCGAAGGACCAGGGTTGTTCAAAAGTAGTTCAAAAGGGCACGGCCCTCTACAGAAGGGATATTCACAAGTAGTTTACGTAGCACCCCGCAATGGCGGATACGAGTGAGGGGGCGGGCGCGGGCGACGCGGGCGTCGAGCCGGCCGACCGCCGCAGGCGCCGAAGTTTTGGCTTTGTTCAGTGAACGTAGTTTGGGTCGCGGGTGGGTCGCGGACTCTCCACCTCCATCTGGAAAGAATTCAAAAAAGAGCCCGCCGCAGGCGCCGACAATTGATTTGTTCACTGAACGCGGCTTGGGTCGCAGGTTCTCCACCTGGAGCGAATGCAAAAGAAACCCGCCGCAGGCGCCGAAGTTTTGGCTTGTTCAGTGAACGTAGTTTGGGTCGCGGGTGGGTCGCGGGCTCTCCACCTCCACCTGGAAGGAATTCAAAAACAGCCCGCCGCAGGCGCCGAACATTTTGATTTGTACACTGAACGCGGTTTGGGTCGCGGGTGGGTCGCAGGTTCTCCACTGGAACGATGCAAAAGAAGCCCGCCGCAGGCGCCGAAAATTTTGGGTGGGTCGCGGGGTGGGTCGCGGGTGGGTCGCGGGTGGGTCGCGGTGGGTCGCGGGTGGGTCGCGGGCGCGGTTTGGGTCGCAGGTGGGTCGCGGCTTCTTCATCTGGAACGGATGCAAAAGAAACCCGCCGCAGGCGCCGACAATTTTGGGTGGGTCGCGGGGTGGGTCGCGAGTGGGTCGCGGGTGGGTCGCCGGTGGGTCGCGGGTGGGTCGCCGGGTGGGTCTCGGGGTGGGTCGCGGGCGGGTCGCCGGTGGGTCGCGGGTAGGTCGCGGGTGGGTCGCGGGGGGGTCGCGGGCGGGTCGCCGGCGGGTCGCGGGTGGGTCGCGGGGTGGGTCGCGGGTGGGTCGCGGGTGGGTCACGGGGTGGGTCGCGGGTGGGTCGCGGGGCAGGTCGTGGGTGGGACGACGACAAACAAACAAACAAACAAAAACAACAACAACAACAACAACAACAACAACAACAGCAACAACAACAACAACAAAAACAAAAACAACAACAAAAACAATGACAATAACAATAACAAAACCAATAACAATAACAATAACAATAACAAAACCAATAACAACAACAGCAACAGCAAGAGCAACAGCAACAACAACAACATTAACAATCATTTAAGACTGGGGACACTCCGTTCTCACCAGTGCCAGGGTTTTCATAGGAGGCGGGCAATACCCCCATTTTGTGGGGGGGCCGGTTCAAGCTCTACCAAATTTCCAAACGACTCTTCGCCACCACCCACACCCAGCTTCCCGCCCTATGACGTTCGGACACTTCACTTCGTGGCATGCGGACGACCGTGGCTACTATTCAGGGCCCCGCGGCCGACGACGACGGCGTGCGCGCGCGAAGAAAAAACGAATGTGTCCCGCATGGTATTATTTGACAGGGATGATGGCCCTGGCAGGTGCGCAACCGTTGTCGCAGAAGTTCGAAAAAGTTGCTCGCAAAAGCCCGTTTGACAGAAATGTTTAAAAAGTGTTGGTTTTCCTACGAATCCGCAAGAGCGCGCGGGATGAGATTTTGACATTTTTTTGTTGAAAAACCATTGGTTTTTTGATGTTTTTATGTTAAAATCGCTCCGAACACTAAGCTTTTGGAAGGATTTCGTCTTGCGCGCGCGAATGTCCACTTTACCTTATTTTTTGCAAGGGATTCTTGAAATTTGATTATATTAGAACAAGAAATGTCATTTTATAGTGTTTTTTGCAAGGGAAAACGGATTACAACAAAACAACCGGATCTGGACCCCATCCACTTTTCTGAAGCTTTCGCGAAAAAATGATGAAAATGTAGCTGCGGCCTAGGCGCGGCGGGGGGGCCGTGCACCAGGGGCCCCAACAATAATTATTCTTTAGAATTAATAATGTTCAAATACAACAACAACAACAACAAAAACAACAACAATAATCCGCATCGCGGAATTCCACTTCAGCCACGCACCCAGGGACAGTGAATGACCGTTCGGTTCAGCCCCTCACTCTGACAACATCGTATGGGAGCTTTGTTTGTTTGTTTGGGAGCATTTTCGATTATTTGTTTTTGCTTGTTCGCGCAACATCCGCCTGCAGGGGGACATGCCCGACCTAAGACCAGGGGCCAGGCACGGCAGGTTCGGGGAGGCAGAACGCGGGTTTGGGCGGCGTTTTTTGTCGAGCGCCTCTTGGATTTTTTGGCGGTCCAGTTGTCGTGGGATGTTTGCAGCGGGAGCTCGCGTGAAATGTCAGACCGGGTCTCGTCATTCTTACGATGGCCCCGTCAGGCCAGCCCGAGTCCCCCGAACCCGAGTCTCTTACGTCTCCCCGATAGGTCCGCACCGCGTCGACCAGCGGCGGCCCCGCCGCCGGCGTTCAGCGTGGAACGCCGCCAGCGACCCAGATTCGATCGGTGCTGAACGATGTGACGTTTCGGAAACGGCCGATCGTTCAAGGTGGGACGAGCCTCAGGCCGGGCATGTCCCCCTACAGGCGGTCTTGGACAACACATTGAAGCAAATATCCAACACATACACATCCAAAAATTAGCTGAATAGTCGAGGGGTCGTCCCCAGACTATGTTTTGACTACTTTTGAGCATTCTTCCTGTGGAGGGACAGGCCCGACTTCAGACGGGCCCCGCGGTGACAGGGAGCCGACGCCTGGGCCGGCACGGCGCGGACCTGCCGCAGGGGGCCTCCATCTGCCCCGCGTGTTGCGTCGCTCGCGGCCCCCTGGGGGCCCGCGATGCGGGCCCCCCTGGACACTCGAAAGCAGTCGGGGGGGGCACGGCAGGGGCGACGACCAAGAGGGGGGGCCGATGTCATGGCCAGGGCGCCGCGCTGTCCCCCTGGAGTGCACGGCCCCTCCTCCTACCTCCGTGCGTCCCCTGGCCCCCCCCCTCCCCTCTCGTGCGTGCGCAGGTGTCGGTGCCTCGGGCCATGCTCTGCGACCCCCCCCCTGGACGCCCCCTTTCTGGAGGCCCCCGAGACAAGGCTCCGGGACGAAACAGCTGCGTGATCGTCTCTTGAGTGTTTGTTTTGCCGATCGGCACGGGCCCTCGCCCCCCCCTCCCCGCTCCCCACTACGGAGCAGGTCTCGGCTGCTTCTGGCGCCTGTTTCGGGCAGGTGGGGGACGCCCCCAGAGGACGCACGGTTCCAACACAGTCGCACGGAGCAGAGGTCCGGAGTCGCCCCCCCCCCCCCCCCCTTCGGCCCCTTCTGCCCAATGTCGAAACGCCGAGTAAGAAAGCGCTCGCTGTGGAAAGGGGGGGGCGGAGGAGGAGGTGGAGGAGGAGGAGGAGGAGGAGGAGGAGGAGGAGGAGGAGAGGAGGAGGGATAGGAGGAGGAGAGGAAGAGGAGGAGAAGGAGGAGGAGGAGGAGATGGAGGGAGCGGAGGAGGAGGAGGGATGTGAGGAGGATGGGGAGGGGGTCGTGACGTCGGGGCGCGCATTGAGCTCCAGGCGCGCCGTCGGGTCGCTGGGCAGGGCGCTCCAGAGGGAGAGCCTTGCCTTCGAGGGGGCGAGGGGTCACCCAATCTCGGAAACTGGAGCATATACATTACCAGTGGCGGGCTGTTGTTCAATCCCAGGACTTCTTGAGGGTCGGGGACGACGCTGGGCTGGTGTGGTGTATATTTTTTTCCCCGGTGTCCCTGGGAAACAACGAAACATGTGTACACCAGGGTCCCGTCTACACCAGGATCCGTTCTCCAGTGCAAATTTCAATGCAGGGCCGGAATATGTGTCGGTGTATAGAGTTGGATTCCCTACAATCTCCTGCCCCGCGCGGGGGCCAGCGGAAGCAAGGCAGGAGCGAGCAAAGGACGCACATGCATGAGGCCACGCCGGTTTCGAAAGTGCGCACTGCGCGATCGTGTCATTCGATAGCGAAGCATGGGAGCCTGGCATACCCTCTCAATTCCGTCTGTTAGCGTCGAGTAGTGTCTGGGGGTCGATGAGATAGCGCCGATCTGGCGTCGGCTAGCGTCGATGAGCGTCGACTGCGTCGATAAGCTTCGATTCGGCGTCGAATAGCGTCGATTCAGCGTCGATTCGCGTCGATCCGCAAGAGCCGACAAGATGGTGTGGGAGGCTCCCACGAGCTGCCACCGCGAGGCTGGTCTCGCGGACCGCGGGGCCGTGTTCGTGTACGTGGAGGGGCGCGTGCGTCTTCTTGTGAAGGGGCCCTGGAACACACAAATAAATACACACACAAATAAAGAGATTCGCCTTCCCCCCACTTCCCATATTTTCTGGCTCTTCGTCTTCCCCCCCACCTCCCATACTTTCCCATATTTCCTGGAGAATCGACGATGAACTGTGTCTGCGTGTTTTTTCCCCTCCTGATCTTGGGGGGGGGCCCTCGCAAAACCGGGGGCGGCTCCGCCAGCGGACGCCGGCGGCAGGCCGGCGGAGGCCGCCCGCGAGGGGTCGAGGACTACGGGGGTTGGGGGCCACGTCGGTCCGATCGATCCGGGTATCTTGATGGGCAGATGTTCCACCGCCACTGCCACATGCAGGACGGGGGAGGAGGGAGGGTGAGGAGGTCCTCCTCCTTCTCCTCCTCGTCCTCCCTCCGCGTCCTCCCTCCTCCTCTTCCTCCCGCCTCCTCCACGGATGGTAGTGGTTTGTAGAACGTGGGCCCATCAGATCCGATTCGCTTCCCACTGGCGATCCGATGTGGTTTGCTGCTGGATAGATTTTGTCGGTTCCTGGAGACCCCTGGGACCATCAACGATAGATCGGGCATGGAAAACTACCCCATGGTGGAGGGGTTTGGACCTCTGGCCGCGCACCAGGGGCAACTAACTAAGGGGGGATAGGTTCATGGGGGGATGTATCGACCCCCAATCGCCCAATCATCGCCTGGAAGAGCCGTGCGGACTCGCGAATCATCAGGGGCGAATCGCCAATCCACCAGCGATGTATCTCCGATTCCAGGTCGATGTCTCCCCCCATCCCCCCCCTGGGCCGCCATGGCCCCTCTCTCGTTGCCGCTCATCGGACCGGGGATGGAACACTGCCCTGGGGGAGAGGTCGGGACCTCTGACCGCGCATTTTCCGGGCACCCTCAGTGCCTCTGACGGCGGTTCGGGGCAATCCAGAGCCTGTTTTTTTTGGATTCGGGCAAGTTTACTTGCATGGCGTTCGCCCCCCCCCCCCCCCTCGCCCCTCTTCAAGCGAATACTAGCGTGCAAGTGCCTTTCGACTTGCGTGATTTCCGCGCCCCCCCCCCGGGCTTGCTTCAGGCTCAGCCCCCCCCCCTCCCCCTACATGCAAGTAAACTTGCCAGAGTCTTAAAACAAAAAAAAAACAGGCGCCCAGGCTCCTAGAACGCCTCCGGAGAGGCGCAGCTGCTGGAAAACACACCCTGTGTCCCCAGTCATTCCGCCCCTGTTGCGGTCCTCCCGGTCACGTAGCGGTCCGGGCAGGGAGGTCTCCGGGGATGGTTCCGGGGCCGGGAAGCGGCCCCGAGATGTAGAATCTTGCAGTCAGTTTGCCGTCTCCATACGTTTGTTGTGTTGCCCCAGATCCGAGATGTTCTCGAGTCTTAAGTCGGGCCTGTCCCTCTACAGGAGGAATGTACCCAAACAGTTTCAGAATTCCCTGGGGACGATGTTCTGACAATGTTTGAGAAGTTGTGTACTAGTATCTTCTTTGGGCTATTTTTTGATTGTTCATCCAAAATCCACCTGTAGGGGGACATACTCGACCTCACTTGAGTCATGGGTGTCGGTCGGCTCCAGGTTCCGCACGAACGAGATGGGCACGGAAAGAATGGGTACGATGCCCAACAGCAGTTCCTGCTCATTTCGAACAGGACTCGCTGTCCGCGCCGCCGCGGCCTGTGTCCATCTGAGACAGAAAGGCCGCCTGCCCAACAGCGGCCACTGTTGCTTTGGGACAAGATTTGTTGCTGGGCATTGTACCCATTTTTTCCGTACCCATCTCGGGCGTCCAAACAGGTTCGTTGTCGGTCCGGTCGGTTTCCTTTGGTGGCGCCGCCGTGGGCGCGGCGCCTTGTGTCCTCAAGGGGAGGGGAGCGCCCGCCTCCGGCGGCGAACTCGCGATCGGCCTCTGGGACGTCACCCAACCTTCAGTCGGGCCTGTTCCTTTACAGGAGGAGTATCTCGGAGGAGGATAGACCTCCTACCCTGACACGTCGATTAAGGAAGAGGCCGTTTTCGGTTCGCGAGAGGGCGTCGCGGCCGTTATTTTTGCGGGTCCAGGTCCGTCGGTTGCGGTCCCAGGCCGTGTTCACTAAGGGGAGGTTCACTAAAGGGATGTTTTTCCACCGACGAATATCCAAACATAGTAAACAAATAGTCTGGGCACGATGTTTGAGTATTTCTGGCCATGCCAGAGCATGCTTGGGGCATTGTTGACTTATCGTCCCAAATCCTCCTGTAGGGGGCATGCCCGACCTAACCCCAGCCCAGATTTCCGACGATCTCACTTATTTAGGCCTCCGAGGCGGGGTCGGCGTAGACGGGGTCGGAGGATCGCGCCGCATCGCCAATGCATCGCCGATGCGGCTGGATGTGGAGCCCGATTTGCTTCACGTCGACGTCGCCGATGCATCGCCCACGCCGACGATGCATCGGCGATGTATCGCCAGTGCATCGCCGATGCATGCCCAGATCCTCCAATCCCATCTGCTCCGACCCCATCTGGGAGGTCTCTGACTTTTCTCAGTCCAGGTGCTCTTCCCCGGTGTCGGCCTTCGCGGCTGGTCTTTCGGCCCCCGAGGGTGTGTTCCAGAGATCTGGGGAATCCCCGTGTAAGACAAAGGCGTGGGATGCTCGGGCTCACTGTCCCCATTCCAGGCGTCCGAATCCTGGGCGGCCACGATGAATCGTTGATGGGACTGATTTCCACCACCACTACCATATGTTGGAGAAGGAGGAGGAGGAGAAAGAAGAGGAGGAGGAGGACCTCTCCCTCCAACCAATGATAGTGGTGGTGGAAACCAAGCCCATCAATCGTCCATCCTCCGCCGGTCGAGGCCTGCGGGGCGTATCGCCGTCGGGGCCGCGCCGCCGAGTGTGTCGGCGGCGCACGGTCGCTTCCAGGCGGATGCGCGCCTCCCTGCGCAAGTCCGCCCGCTTGTCCGGCTCTCGCCCCTCCACCGCCTTCATCACGTAACTCATTGGCCCATAGCTCTCGACCCCGGGTCCAGTTCTCCGAGTCGTCTCACAAGTTCTGGTGGCTCCTGGCGCCAGGAAGCGGCCCCGAGAGGCAGAGATTTAGTGCAACAGGGCCAGTGTGCACATGGCAAATCACGGCGTCAGATATTTGAGCCCTCCTCACCGGAGGAGGAGGGGCGCAGCGTGCTGGTGTTCTCCCACGTGCCCGTCTACGAGCCCGCAAGCGGCCCCAAGACCGTCGTCTGGAACTCGAAGACGGGAAAGCTACATGAACACAATGCCATTTTTTGAGGTCCGCGCGGATGTCTCGGGTCCGCGTTGTGGCAGCGACGCAGGTGCCGTTGGGGGGCCTCGAGCGCCTATTCAAGGTATCTGCGAGAACCTCCCAACCTCCGGCAGTTTAGCATTTGCTCTTCCTTCCGCCACTCCCTCTCTCGAAAAAAATCCGTTGGCAAAGAGTCTTGGTTTCCCAGATGGGGTCACAGTAGATGGGGTCGGAAGGTCGCGCCGCATCGGCGGTGGCATTTTCGGTCCTCAAGGAACGGCGACGAGGTACTCGAGGTGCTACACGAGTTCTGCGACTCCGTGGTCGCGGTGTTCGCGGGCCACGACCACTGCGGGGGATACGCGGTAGATGCTGCTGGCCGGCCCTCCTTCTCCTCCGTCTTCTTTGTCGGTATTGTTACCCTTCCTCTTCTTCCTCGTTTCCCTTCTCTCCTTTCTAATTCGCTCGACTCCTCCCGACAATACATCTCCTTCTCGTCCTCAGATTGTCTCCTCTTCCTCCCCTCCTCCTCCTTCTCACCCGCTCTCCGCAGCTCGCTTAATCCTCCTGCTCCTCCTCCTCCTCCTCCTCCTCCTCCCCTCCTCCTCCCCCCCTCCTTCTCCCTCCTAACCCCTCCTCGTCGTCCTTCCTCTTCTCCTTCTCGTCCCTCCTCCTATGTCCTCCCCCTTCTCCCTCTCGATCCTCTCGTTCTCATGCTCTCCTCCCTCGATCTCCCTCCCTCGATCTCCCTCCCCCGACCTCCCTCCCCTCGATTCCCTCCCTCGACCTCCCTCCATCGATCTCCCTCCCTCGATCTCCCTCCCCCTCCTGGCCTCCCTGCCGCTTCTCTCCATCCGAGGCCTGCACCACGTGACCCTGTGCTCACCCCTGCACGTGGCCCCCCCCGGCCGGGAGTGCTTCGGCGTGCTGGAGTGTCATGAGGCTACCCGGCCCACCCACCTCGCCCGGGGGGAGAAGCAGGAGCAAGGAGCAGGAGAAGCAGGAGGAGGAGGAGGAGGAGCAGGAGGAGCAGGAGGAGCAGGTGGAGGAGGCGCAAGGAGCAGGAGGAGCAGGTGGAGCAGGAGGAGGAGGAGCAGGAGGAGGAGTAGAAGGGGCAGGTGAACAGGTGGAGGAGGAGGAGTTGGAGGAGGAGGACAATTCTGGAACTCTGTCGCGCCTGCTCTCCTCGAGTTGCACTTGATCCTCTCCTGGGATGTGTCTCGCTCGTCCACAAGAGTCCTGCTGCACGGCGCTGCGAGCCTCGCTCTCAAAGTTTGCCCGACGTGAAACAAGGAAGTGCCACGAGGTTCGCTCCAGAGGAGGGAGGTGGAGCAGGTGGGGGCCAGGGGGGCCCAGTCGTCCTCGCGCCTCGGCCAGTAACGTTTCGGGTGATGCTTGACAGTTGTCCTTCCTCCTCCCCCTTCTCCTCCTCCTACTCCTCCTTCTCCTACTCCTCCTCCTCCTCCTCCTCCTCCTCCCACTCCTCCTGCTCCTTCTCCTCCTCCTCCTCCTCCTGCTCCTCCTCCTCCTCCTCCTGATCCTAGTGCTCCTTCTCCTCCTCCTCCTCCTCCTCCCCCTCCTCCTCCTCCTCCTCCCGCTCCTCCTCCTCCTCCTCCCGCTCCTCCTCTCCTCCTCCTGCTCCCGCTCCTCCCGCTCCTCCTCCTCCTCCTAGCCGTTTCGGCACGAGCTCTTTCAGGGGCCCGTGCTTGTGTTCACGTACTTCGAAGCGGCTCGTGAACACGGGCCACTTCACAAGCGCACGGCGCCTCCCGCTGCAGAGTCCTGCAGTGGCGGATGGTGCCAAACCCGCCCGATGTCTTGCCTGGAGCCAAGACTCCCCTGTGGAGTTGCAGCTGCGGGTGCCCGGACAATTGGGCGTCCAGGGTCATATGCAGAGGCTGCGGCAAGGATGCCCCAGTGCGAGTCGTCCAGGCAGCTCGTAAGGCATCAGCGGCACTCAAGTCAGGATCGGTTCGCGGGCCTCGTGGTGCCTGGGCTCAAGGGCCGCCGCCGATCGGACCCAGCAACAAGGAGCAGATGCGCCTCATCCAGGAGCTCAGGGCAGAGGTCGCACAGTTGGCGGGAAAGCAGCCCCCAGCTCGGCCGCCATGGCAGTCCAGCTCCCCTTCGCCGCAGCGGGGCACGACGGGCGAAGCGTCCGCCAAGCTCTCGTTCGCTGATGTGCTGCAGTTCCTCAAGGATGAGGGCGTTGACACGGCGAAGGTCGAAGAAGCAGAACAGGCAAAGAAGCAGGCTACGGCAGTCAAGCAGCCCACGTCCAGGGCCGCGCACTGGAAGGTCGAGAACCTCCGCACCAAGCTCTCCAAGGCGGAGGTGCGTGCGGCGGCGTTGCGCAAGCAACAGGAGGATCTTCAGGCCGAGATCGCTGAGCTGGACAAGAGCGTCGACAAGCTCAAAGAGGACCTCGGACAGGCTGAGCAGGCGCTCTTCCGCGTCCAAGCAGATGGAGATCCACTCAGAGCAGTCACGGCCACCCTGGACGAGACCGTCGCCCAGTCTGATGAAGGAAAAGCTGCATTGGCCACCCTCCAGCGCCTGCAGGCCGAGGCTCAGGCCAAGAGGGCAGTGGCCAGCGGGCCTGATGCTGCAAGTGCTCCTCCTGGTACAGCTACAGGCGGGGCGGGCAGCGGCGAGCACATTGCAGCCACAGAAGGCGACGGCGACGACATCGACATGGACTTGTTGGATGGAGAAGACTTCGATGAGCGCAGGGCAGCTTTTGACAAGGCCGCCCAGCAGCTCAAGGAGGCCAAAGGAGGAAGTCAGGAGCAGCTCGACGCCGCCAAGCGCAAGTACCTCGAGGCTGCGGAGGCCATTGGGGTCAAGCGGGCTCGGTCGTGCTCCTGAGCTGGACGCTGGAGTGGAAGGCCCTCCTCCAGTCAGTGGTGCGAAGGAGCAGTCCAGCTTGAATGCCTTCCTGAGGTGCAACATCCTGGACCATGACTGGGAGCAGGCCACGGGCTTCGCTGTGCCAGTCATGCGCGACGACCTGCTGTTCGACTCGATGCAGTTTCGCCAGCGTGACGGAACTTTGATGGAGTTGGACGAGAAGGATTGGCCCGTGCTCGGTTCCGCTTTGGCGAGGAGTACGTCGGCGTATCGCTTGGGCAAGGGAGGGAGGGATTCAGCCCCTCGAAGTCACACTCCCTTGCCCGCATCGTCGATGGCTACCAGTTCGAGCACGGCGACTTCGGCATCCTCGATGATCCCCCAACTGGCCCGCTCCTCGGGGTTGGGGGCAAGTGCAGCGCAGGAACATACTCCCCAACTGGCCCGCTCCTCGGGGTTGGGGACAAGTGCAGCGCAGAGGCTACCGCCCCAACTGGCCCGCTCCTCGGGGTTGGGGGCTTCTCCTAGCTGTGAGGCCAGACCTTCTTCGTGGATGGCATGCGCGTCGACGCAGACGGCTACGGCGGCGACGGCTGGTTCTTCGCGTGGCGTTAGGACGCAACAGTCGTCGCCGCCTGCCCTTCCCTCCCCCAGGGCACCCCTTCCACAGGAGGCGGGGGTCTCAGCGCGTGGGGAGGGGGGGCAGGATGTTTTGCTGGCGCAGCATCCAGACGCTGAAGCGAGATTGGCTGGCAGTGTGCGTGGCCTCCTTCGTCCCCAAGTTGAGCCAGATGCGGATTCGAAAACACATTGGTTGAAATCCGACGGGAGGGCGGAAGTACCTCCCGCGCGTAATCTTCTTGCGGACGATCGTGTCTCTGGTGTAGCGCGGGGATCTGCAGACTTGTGCATTTTTGGAGCCAACGTCAACAGCTGGTCGACAGCGGACACTGTAGTGAACTGGGTCCGAGATCAAGCTGACGTTGGAGGATCTGGGGCGGAGTCTTGGGGTTTAGTCCAAAGCAAGTTCCAGGTGGTCACGCTCCAGGAGACAAGGTTGAAGTCCCCCGACAAGGTCATCTCGGCCCAGAGTTGGGCCTGCAGGAATGGGTACCAGGTGTCTCTCGGGAAGGCCCTCAGCACTGGCGACGGGCCCTTGCAGAGCTCTGGAGGAGTCGGTATCTTGGTTGCTGGGGAGGTCGCCTCGAGGCCCTTGGATCTTCCAGGTTTGGGCAGGTTCGACGGGAGGATCGTAGGTCGGGTCATCAACGCGGGGTTCGACCAGGGCCTTGAGATCTACAGTGTCTATCTCGTCAACGACACAGGCGTGACGGGCGAGAATTTAGAGCTTTTGGAAGTTCTGGGGGCGCTTCTTTTATGCAGTAAGCGCCCGTGGGTCGTGCAAGGTGATTGGAATTTCACGCCCGCGGCTCTCCAGCTATCAGGTTGGATACAGCATGTGCACGGTGTGCTAGCCTCATCTGGCCAGGCAACCTGCTCGGCCTGCGCTCCAAGGACTGCCAGGGGAGAAGATATGGAGGAGGAGGAGCTGACGGAGCATGACGGGGGAGGAAGGGAGCTTGACTTCTTCGTCGTGTCATCGGCTATCAGTTCGTGCATCAAAGATGTCCAGGCTATCCGAGGAGCGCCTCTTTTTCCCCATTGCCCTGTGCTGCTTCGGTTGGGGAACCTCTGCCAGACGGCGGTAGTCCAGCAGCAGACGCGTTTCAAGCCGTTCAGCACCGCGCTCATGGGGCCTCTGCCGCAGGAAAGGGACATCCAATGGAGCGACCCTCTAAACTCAGATTTGAACACGCTCGCTCGGGAGTGGTTCGGGGAAGCCGAAGCTCGCCTGGTTGAAATTCATGGAATAAGTGATCAGAAAGGGTATGTAGGTCGCTCCGCTGGGCCCAAGTCTCGCAAAGTTCCCTTAGTGGCGCTGCTAGAGCGAGATCACCGCCGGCGTTTTTCGAAGCAGACTGTCTGCTGGATCTCGTTCGAGGCCCTGCTCAAGAAGGCAAAGGCAATCAGTGCTGGGAACCCAGGTGCCAAGGGAAGAGCTCTTCTGGGATCCTGGAAGCTTAAGCTGTTCGACATTTTGGAGGACCTCCAGCTGACGGAAGATGGGCCCACAAAGGCCCAGTTGCACTCCATTGTTAGGGCGGCATCGGGAGAAGGTTCCTGGAACGACGTCGTCAATGGGGCCATCTGCAAAGAGTGCACTCGTCGCCAGAGGCTGGACGCGGCTTCGCAGCTCGCTAAGTGGAAGGAATGGGCCAAGAGTGCCGTCTCTGGAGGTGGTAAAGCGGCGCATGCCTTCTCCAAGCAGCAGGTCTCGTGTGGTTTTTCGCGAGGTACGTCGGATGATCCTCGGCTTCCAGTGGCTGGTCAGGCCGCAGTGCAAGAGCTTGTCGATGCGTGGCATCCGATGTGGTTCCGAGCTGGCCGCGGGCCCGCACCGAGCTCCTGGGAAGTTCCTGCCGACGAGCCTGCCCTTTCCCCGCTCAGACTGGAGGATTTACATCGAGTTTGTAAGATGTACGGGCCCGCGGCGGGCCTAGGCTGGGATGGATTTAACCCGCGGTGGATTTTGCAGCTGCCCGAAAGTTACCAGTTTCGGCTCCTGGAGATTTTGACGCTCTTCGAGGTCGACCCAGGGGCCGTCGTGATGTTCCTGACCAATGTGGTTTTCTTGGACAAACCAACGGGAGGGGTCAGGCCGATCGGTTTGCTATGCCTTTTCACGAAGCTCTGGAGCCGATTGAGGCAGCCGTATTGCCGCTCCTGGGAAAAGTCCCACGTGTACGAGTTTTTCTGGGGCTCAGGGCCCGACGCGACGTGCGAGAGGGCCGGATGGGTCCACAACTTGCTCGGGGCGCATTGTCGTAAAGCAGGCTTCGAATCAGCGTCGGCTCTCTTGGACTTGGCTAAGTTCTATGAGAATGTCAACCACGGGGACCTCCTGGTCGCAGCTAAACGGTTTAGTTTCCCAGTCAGGCTGGTCAAAGCGTACTGTGCCATCTATGCTGGCTACCGTGCGCTTCTTTACGGGGGAGCTTCGTCGGCCGTCGTCGAATCGAACGGGGCAATCG